AGAGACACAGCAGTATAATACACAGCTTATTATAGTCTATATATGGATATTTCTGTATAAAGATTGAAATGAATGGTAGATTACTACAACCTCCCCTCCGCTGTGTAAAGAGATACAATAAATAACAAAGCTTACAACAGTCCATTAGTCGATATATCTATTAGTAACCAGGTTGGGAAAAGAATCCCTAGAAGTAATTATCAGCTACTTATAATTAATTTAGAATATTTTTCTTACTCTTAGTTTCCAGCATTTTTATTCTTTCTATTCTGACACAAATATGAAGTTAATGGTCATACAGTTAAAACAAAGACAAAACGACATATACATTGATATCCCTTTGTATCTTTATTATATAAGAAAGGAAAAAGAAACGCATGGAAAATTTTTGAGGTTAAATAATTTTATTTTTTCTTGTGTATTATCTATTAATCCTAGTTAACGTTTAAAATCATCTTCAATAAAAATGTAACCGAAATTTTCGTTTGCCTCATGATTCGAGAATTATTGAAACTGATATAAGGTACCCCCCCAAAAAGTGAATATTAAAATCCTCATTATTTTCAATGTCTCCTTCGCGAATATTTCACAGTCTTGTTTCTCCTTTGCGTGGTGTTCATCAGTCTGTTTATCCTACAAATAGGGATATTTATTAACCTATTCAATAAGATAGCCCTTTGTTGAAAGGGGCCATATTCGATATTCCTGTCTTCCACTCTGTCCCACAGATGTTCATTGATCAAGATTAATATGGACTTATATGTGTCAGAGATCAGTCGAGTGCGTTAATGCGACTGTTTGCGAGAAAGCTTTGATAAACGCAGGATATAATGTGCCGGAGGTAATCACGCAGAAAAAAAATCGATAAATGGCTCGCATATGCGCCAGTGTGAGGAACACCAACGTGAAGTTGACCAGCTGAAATATCCAAATCGTGCAATTGGTATATTTCAGTTTTATGATGATTATAATGAATACTATTAATATTTCTTTTTTTATAGCAGTTTTATGGTAGTTAGGTGGCGATTAAACACATCATGACCATCATCACGGATGTTGAAAACCATTTAAGACCCTCTCTGACGACGGTTAAGACGTTCTATCGGGGGAATTCTACTAGCTACTGCACAGCAAGCCGTTGTTGCTTTTGTCCTTACTTAGGTACCGTAAAAGCCAGACCCCATGGAACTTCTGTCAACAATATTGCAAGAAATGCATTTCGTCTAAAAATACTGAAATTCAACATGTATCCTGATTTGCATTAAATTGTACAAAAGGATCTTTGACAAACTTGTTGTTATCAAGTTGCACATGTTTTTGACATTTTAGCATTTTTCGACGTTACGCCATTCGTTTCAAGGTTGAGTAATTCGGAACACAAATTTTAATGCAGAGTAACCAAGACTCAAATCTGACCAATTTTCGTACTTTTTGGTCATGCGGTCAAAAAAAATTTGGCATATTATTTTACCCTACGTTACATGTACCCTTTCCTTCCAGTATATGTGAAGTTATAAATTTTGAACAGTAATAATCATTATGTAGTCAGAAGTACTTTATTCTTAATGTAAACTAAGAATTCTATCAGCTTCAGAATGGGAATATTACAAGAACACTACATTTTTAAAGCTAATATAAAAAGACTTGATAATAAATACTTTTTCATCTGCATTATCGTTAAGAAAAGTTTTGTTCCAAACATAATTTTGTAGACTATAATCAAACATTTATTATATCATGACATATTAAAAATAACAAACAATTAAGTAAGGAAAAGTTGTTATATAAAATAATTTTGATTATATTAAAAATTTTACATTCAGCTATAACATGATCACATAATTAGACTAGATCAATAACACAATAAAACTGATTTCAACTTTACAATAAGAACGCCTAAAATCAATCTCAGCATTTAAATTCAATCAATGACATCACTTTAGTAAATATATAAATCATTTAATAAATCACTTTACATGTACATGCATATTGCAAATTGAATATTTGTATAAATACTGTATATTGAATATCCATGTTTTATGGGGAAATATTTTAGAGACAAAGGACTCAAACCAATTTGTATGCAATTGAGAAAATTATTCTAAGACAAATAATACAAATTTACTTAGTAAAATTTCATAAAATAATACTCTTCTATTTTTTACTTTTTCAACAGACTGAGTGTAAAACTGCATTTAATCCTTTGCACAAAAGTGAGAATTTTAAAAGTCACATTTCTACATCAAAAAATATCAAAGGTGAGGCAATGCATATCTCCACAATACGAAAACTTACTATAGTGAAACATGTCTTGTCTTTAAAATGTGTATTCCAAAATATTGATTCGAATCGATATTCAAATTCCCTTTTAAAATATACTTGTCCAATTGTCGTTTTATTTGAAGTATTATCAAGTCCAGCCAACTTAAAAAAGAGGATTTCGGACTAGACGAGTTGTACTGTATATGGTACCAAACTACTTGCCCGCCAATAGCTTTTCAGTAAGGCTTTATCATCATGGAAGTCTCCTTTATCTCATTACTAGCCACAACTGTAGGAAACCATGGATTGTTCCACACTGCTGGGGACCACGGACCGTTAAGGTTGGCGAAGTTACAGTAATTATACCACCAGCCTCCTCCCCCACCCCAAAAAACAGCACAGTTACTAACAGATCTGTCGTGGTGTCTGTCGAGAGTGGTAAATGACATCCCGCACAGATCTTGGTCATAAATCCCAGTATCAAACATTCTGTCACCTGAAGAAAAAAGTTGTCACTTTAATAGTGTACGAAATATCTAAAGCAGCCGACTGGGGCTTTATTGTGTGAAAACTATACTGAAAGAAAAAAAGAAAAGCATATTAAACTTTTGAGTTAAATTAAAACAATCATTTCGAACATTTTTTCCAGCATTGTTATCAAACATTTTGATTCATCTTTAATCAACAAGTTACCAAAATCTTTGTATGATTTTGACTGATAATTCCAGAGTAATTGAAATTGATATGTCGATACCCCCCCCCTAAAAAAAAATAAAACTAAAAATACCATAATATCCCTTGCGCATCAGTATCAAACTTGATTTTCCTATGCAATGAGTTCATCAAAGCATTTAACTTTTTCATTATTTTTTATTAAACCCTTCTGAGGGTAGTCTTAATGGCTGAGAGTAACTGCATTATTCCAAAGCCAACAAATCCCCCGGCCAATGAATTCCACCAATTTTTGACTCTGTATAGAATGTACAGAATTCAACTAGTTTGATGCAGGTGAATGTTTGTAAGAAGTCTCAACAAACACTAACAACATTTTCCCAGTGTAAACACGCTAAAAACACTAGGCATAGGACTCGTACGTGCGCGTGTGAGAATATAATCGACGTAAAGTTGCAAAGCTTGCGGCGCAAATTAGAGCCAAGAGAAGAGTTTTTCTTCATTTTCGGTGACAGTTCACAGTAGCTCAGTCGGTAAAGCGCTCGCTCCGTGACCGGGAGGTCGTGAGTTCGTATCTCGGCCGTGAATGACCCAGTCGATAAAATGGGTAGCGACTGTTCCTTCGCCATGCGCTCGGCACTTTGAAGTGAAAGTTGCAAGTCCTTTGGATGAGACCTTAAAAACCGAGGCCCCTCACTGCTCAATGGCCCTGAGTGCCGAGTAAAGGTCAAAATTTGAAGCCCTTCACCGGCATACGGTGAAGTCTCCATATGAGAGAAACATTCTCGAGAGGGATGTTAAACAATATACTATCAATCAATCAATCATTTTCCGTGAGAAAAGGTGAGCATGATAGTCTCCTGTTTAAATACAGTGATAATGCGTTGACAATAACTGAGGTGGCATGTTGAAAAGCCCTTTCTTGTTGTGACGTTGTTACGCGCCAACGTCATCGTCATAGTTGGTAGGAAACATTTTAAGTTAACACTTTGGCAACCGAATAAACTTTTTTTTGGTTGAAAAAGTTAAAAACAATCTTCACAGCAACATGTTGCCTTTATATTCACTTATTCATATTGAATTCAATTACTAGAGCCAATGTAACGTCCGGCAGCCATACCATGAATGCAAGAAATTTATACTGACTGCAAATATGCAAAAACGATGTCTATAATACAAATGCATCGTATGGCACTTTAAAATGTGATCACAAAAATAGCATCATCAACATGCACTTGTTTTTGACTTTTTATTACTTCCCCTACGTGACACCATACATTTCATGGCTGAGTAGTTTTGACCAGCGATTTTAGTGCAAAGTAAACAAAATACACATCTCACAAATTTTCATTATTTTCGGTCATATAGTTAAAACTTTTTACATTTTATGTTCTAATGCGTTTCTTTTTCTTCCAGTATACAATAGAGAGACTCCTTAACTTTATAGAATTTGAACCTTATATAAACTCTACGAGGGCTGTTCAATAAATAATGTCCTAAACTGTATGACATACAATACAGATATCATATGGCATTAAACTTGACTTTCTTTCATTATTGAATCTTTACTAAATTTATAACAGTTTATGTGACCACTTTTCATCACATAGTTTTATCGTGAGAAATGGGAAACACGGGCTTTTCGAGACACCGCATTACAAATGAATGGTAAAGAATCAGTAAACTACAGAAAAAATAAAAGCTACATAAAAGCTGTTGTAAAACTTGTTAAAAATCCCAAAGAAATATTCACTGAAATATGTGACATTTACAACAACCTATGCCTGTTTTATAGACAAATGAGAAGGTTGATTTCAATGATAAAAAGATTATATAATGGGCATCAAAGATGGGTACCCTCCTTGCCAACAAAAATTATAACAACTGTACTGTTTTTTTAAATTCCAACAAATAATATTTGATGATGTATGGCTTCAAGACACATAGCAAATTTGATATACATCATATCAAGAATAGTTTACACTGTTTTAAAGAAACGTTTGACCGTAAAAAAGCTTGGTACTCAAATGTCACCCTAGATTTTGGAAAATGAGTGAAAACGACAGCGTGTACGAAAGTCTTAACAATTTATTTTAAAATATCAGTAATTGTAGTAATCAACGTTTGTTTTATATTCAAACAGATATTGGAACATGAATCTATTGCTTAAAACCATCAAAACAAAATTTACCATAAGATGTACCTGATAAAAACGGCGAAGGTCTGACAAGAGCAAAGTTATGCAAGAGCACAAAGACAAATTAATATGCAATTTTCTTAAATATTGGTGGTATTGTTGTTCTAATTCGTATTCGGGGAGACAGTTTAATATCTAGTTGAGTCTAGAAAGAATTTATTTTTTGCAAAAAAAATAAAAAAGATTATTAGAGAAAGGACCCAGAATCAGGAATCCACTACATTAAATTTAATCACGACAGCGTCCAAACCCGCATGCCCTGAAGCGTAAAGGGTTTTTTGAGAAAAGCAGAAAGTTAATGGTTTTACATTTACAATGTTTGCCAGATCTTTGATCTTTTGACTTGTTTCTATTTCCAAACTTGAAAAAAAAACCACATTTCAGAAGGAAAAAAAAAACAAGTCCAGGAAATTATTGGATCTGCCATTTTCAAGTATACACAAAAATGAGTTCTAAAAACAATCAGAAATTGGAAAAAAAATTGTGTCGGACATGTGTTTGAATTAAAAGAGATTATTAAGTAAAATCATGAAGACTTAATCATTGAAAAGCGTCGTTTGCTTCTTTCTGAGCACCGAGGACATTATTTATTGAACAGCCCTCGTAGTGTACATTCAAATCCAGCTTAAGGAAAGGAAAATTTGCAGCCTTGGCCGTTTCAATATAGATACCTTCATTCTATGGTTATGGGGAAATGCAAAGTTTTCGCACTTGGAAACACACGCAGGGGTGATAAGAAAGCATACAGAATATTCTAACTTTACTAAGTCAGTGAAATAATACAGTACAGACAACGCAGATCCCGTATAAGACCGCATCCCCTCCGCGGTGTATTAATCCTTTCCGCGTTACACCGTCGCGGATTTTGATCGCGGTGCTACCTGAGACCGTGTTTACACCGCGGCGGGGCCAGCTACCGTTATTCTTCAGCTTAAATGTTGTTACCTTTAATGACCTGTCGATTTTTAATCATGTCGAAAAAAAGGGGAGGGGGGTTAGCCATTTAAGACTATGATCACATTAATATTATCAATACCATTATTTTTTTTTTAAATCATTTTTAAAAAGTTTTATCAAATTCTTTAATAAAAATTATATACCAATAGTCACTCAAAATTAATCAATTCTCAAACGCGTTTGTTAAGAGTCATTTTGGGTGAAATAAAGTACATGTAGTAAAATTTATCGAATATGTTTATGAAATCATATCTATTTATAAAATCAATAATCTCGCCACAAATGATCTTCAAATTGAAATTTAATAAATAAATTAAATAAGTAGAATTAATTTTAGAATTTAAAGAATGCCATATCGCTTTTTTTATATGCACCGTCGTCCAGTGTTCACAATTAGCTTGTGCAATTGCAGTTACATGTAGCTATGTGTTTATTTATCTGCAAGTTTCTATCACAGCCATCGATTTCATTTTAAAAATGCCTTTTATACAAAGACGAGGGGGGGGGGGGGTTATAAAGTCATTCTATTCAGAATATCAATAATTTTATAGCTAATATTTTACTGTGGTTCTATTTTCTGCTCTTTTCGGAAATTATTAAAGTCATGTCTATGAAAATGTTGAACAATTTTCACGTATCGCCGATAGGAAAGGCTGACTCTTCTATCAGCCATTTAATACGGTCCCTTAAATAATTTGAACACACAGCACAGAAATTATTAAAATTCTTTTAAGCAGCAAATTGTCATGCTTCAAGTTTTCAGGTGTCTGTGTAACTGGTCTATACCCTTAAAGAGATACCTGCAATACCTTTACATTACGTAATCTTGCATCATGAAGAAACACTGACGAACAATTATGAATAAGATTAATAAATGTCTTGGAAACAATCATATCAAGCTGTTAGTTTGGATAATAAACCGATAAATCAGCGACAGCAAGATCTACATGTACATGTATCTGGTCACGGCAATGATTATTATGGAACTTTGAAGTCTGATCCATTAGCAATTTCATTAAAATGATATCATGTTTAGTTTAGTTTCATTCGATAGACTTGAGAAATCAATAATATTTATACTGATCAAAACGAGGAAAAACAATCTTAAACGTGTCTCAAGTTGATATTGTAATGCTCTCTCTCTCTCTCGTAATCTACTAATTGGTACAGGTATAAACAGACACGTAAATAAAATAGTAATGAATCATTATTTGATTCACATGTACTTAATTTCAAATACTTTAATTATTAATTTGTTTTAAAAGTTTTGTTGTTTTTTTTTTTACACTCAGTTAAAAAAGCAACAATATATTGACTAAAATTTCAAGGCCGTTATCTCATTTGAAAATGAAATCGATGAAATAATGAAACATTGAATCAAATGCTATGTTGAAATGCTAGACAACGACGTGCACATTCAGAGAGAGTTATTCAAGGTACTCTAGGACAGGTGTGAAACCCCCAGGGCATGCCGTTTCCTGTGCTGGGACTGCTAATCCCTATACACAGGAAATGATCGCGGCTAATACTTAATACACAAAGAAACAGAAATTGTCAAAGAAATCGAAAGTATTTGATTAGTATTATATTCATTGAATATTATTAAAAACTTAAATATAATACATCCCCTTCTTTAATTTGATTTGTTCTGTGAAGTTTATCACCGTACC